AGTGGAGTGTTGAAGTCTTCTAGAATTAATGCATTGCATTCTATTTCCCCTTTTAATTCTGTTAGTATTTGTTTCACATATGTCAGTGCTCCTGTGTCGGGTGCATAGATATTTATAATGGTTATATCCTCTTGTTCAGTTGACTGCTTTATCATTATGTAATGTACGTCTTTGTCTCTTGTGACTTTCTTTGTTTTGAAGTCTATTTTGTGTGATACAAGTACTGGAACTCCTGCTTTTTTCTCCCTATTACTTGCCTGAAATATCTTTTTCCATCCCTTCACTTTTAGTCTGTGTATGTCTTTGAGTTTGAAGTGAGTCTCTTGTAGGCAGTATGTAGGTGGGTCTTGATTTTTGATCCAGTCAGTGACTCTGTGTCTTCTAATGGGTGCATTTAGACAATTTACATTTAGAGTGATTATCAATGGGTATGTACTTACTGCTATTGGAAGCTTTAGATTCGTCGTTACCAAACGTTCAAGGGTAACTTCCTTACTATTGTAAGTGTCTAATTTAACTACTTAGTATGCTATCACAAACAATCTAGAGGTTCTTTTTTTTTCTCCTCCTTTTTCTTCTTTTTCCATTCTTTATATATTAGGTATCATATTCTGTACTCTTTGTCTATCCCTTGACTGACTTTGGGGGTAGTTGATTTAATTTTGCATTTTCTTAGTAATTAACTGTTCTACTTTGTTTACTGTGGTTTATTACCTCTGATGACAGCCATTTAGCCTTAGGAATACTTCCATCTATAGCAGTCCCTCCAAAATACGCTGTAGAGATGGTTTGTGGGAGGTAAATTCTCTCACTTTTTGCTTATCTGGAAATTGTTTAATCCCTCCTTCAAATTTAAATGATAATCTTGCTGGATACAGTATTCTTGGTTCGAGACCTTTCTGCTTTATTGCATTAAATATGCCACCCCTTCTGGCCTGTAGGGTTTCTGCTGAGTCAGATGATAGCCTGATGGGTTTTCCTTTGTATGTGTTCTTATTTCTCTCTCTGGCTGCTTTTAATAGTTTGTCCTTATCCTTGATGTTTGCCATTCTAATTATTATATGTCTTGGTGTTATCTTTCTTGGTTCCCTTGTGCTGGGAGATCTTTGCACCTCCATGGCCTGCTAGACTATTTCTTTCCCCAGATTGGGGAAGTTTTCAGCAATTACTTCCTCAAAGACAGTTTCTATCCCTTTTTCTCTCTCTTCTTCTTCTGGTACCCCTGTAATATGAATATTGCTCCATTTTGATTGGTCACACAGTTCTCTCAATGTTCTTTCATTCTTAGAGATCCTTTTCTCTCTCTGTGCCTCACCCTGTTTTTATTCCTCTTCGCTAGTTTCTATTTCATTTATCATCTCCTCCACCATATTTAATATGCTTTTAAAAACCTCCTTTGTGTTCCTGTGACCAGATCTCCATCCTAAATTCATTCCTGAGTTCCTGAATATTTTTCTGGACCTTCAGGAGCATGTTTATGATTTTTATTTTGAAACCTCTTCCAGGAAGATTGATTAGTTCCATCTAACTTGATCCTTTTTCTGGTGTTGGTGAAATTTTGCTTTGAACTAGGTTCCTTTAACGTTTCATATTTGTATGTGGTGCCCTCTAGTGCCTAGAAGCTCTACTCTCTGGAGTTGCTCATCCCTTGGAGTGATGTTGGGCATCTCAGGGGAGCAGTGCTTGTGCCTCCAGGGAGGAAAGAGCTGTTTCCTGCTTCCCAGCTACTCTGCCTGTCTCCACTGCCAGTACCAGTGGGCCAGACACACAGGTGTAAGCCTCTATGGTTTGTGTTTGCAGCTGCTAATGTTGGGGCTTCCCTCTGGCTGGCCTGACGACAGCGCAGGGTTTGCTGGTTTGTGAGCCAGGTGTGAGCTGGTCAGGAAGAAGGGGCAACAGGTTTCGTATCACGTTGGGGTGCCTTATTGCTGCTTAGTCAGCCCACGGGATGGAGCACCTGAAGATCCTGAAGGTTCCCATCTTGCTGGGCAGAGTGCACCTGGACAATTTTGTCTACCTGCCCTTTCTCCTGAGCAGTAAGCTCTGTGAAATCCTGCCCTTTTAGCTGCCCTCTTGCTTTTAGAAAGTCTCTTAGACTTCCCAGCCACAGCAGCTGGATATGGATCCTTGCTTTCCACAAGCAGCTGGAATCTCAGTTTCTCCAGGTAGTCTGCCTGTTTTAGCTTTCCAACCCCACTAATCACCAGAGCACCATGCAATGTAGGTTCGTGCTCCCAGAGCAGATCTCCAGGGCTAGGTGTTCTGCAGTCATTGTCTCCACTCCCTCCCTGCCCCATTTGTTTTCATCCCTCAGGTGAGCTGGGGTGAGGGAAGGGCTTGAATCCTATCGGATCATGGCTGTGGTATGTTACCCTGTTCTGTGAGGTCTGTTCTTTTTCTCCAGGTGTATGCAGTCTAGTGCAGCCTTCTTTTCTGTTGCTCTTGCATGATTAGTTTTGTTAGTTATATTTTTGTATGATATGTGGTTTTAGGAGGAGGTCTCTGTCGCACATCTCACACCACCATCTTTAATCCAACTTATTTTACTTAGCATAAGAGCTTCTAGGTCTATCCATGTTGTCACAAATGGCAAGATTTCATTTTTTTTTTTTGATGATTGAGTAGAATCCATTGCATTTATGTACATTTTATTTCTCCATTCATCTAGCAATTAACACTTAAGTTGCTTCCATGTCATGGTCATTGTAAATAGTGCTGCAATAACCATAGTGGTCATGTATATTTTTCAATTAGTGTTTTCTTTTTCTGTTTTTCAAGTAAAAACCCAGAAATAGAATTGCTGGGTCATATGGTATTTCTGTTTTTAATTTTTTGAGGAAATTCTATACTGGTTTCCATAGTGGCTGCACTAATTTACATTCTCTCTCACAGTGCCTAAAGGTTTTCTTTTCTCAACATGCTCATCAACAAGTTTCCATAGTGGCTGCACTAATTTACATTCTCTCTCACAGTGCCTAAAGGTTTTCTTTTCTCAACATGCTCATCAACAATTGTTATTTCTTCTTGTCTTTTTGATAGTAGCCAATATGACAAGTGTGAGGTTATATCTTATTGTTTTTGATTTGCATTACTTTGGTGATTAGTGATGTTTAGCATTTTTTCATGTGTCTGTTGGCCATCTGTAGATCTTCTTTGGAAAAATGTCAATTCAGGTCCTCTGCCCATTTTTTAATCAGATTTTTTTGTTGGTGTTGAGTTGTGTGAGTTCCTTATATACTTTATATATTAGCCCCTTATCAGATCCATCATTTGTAAATATATTCTCTCATATTGTAGGCTGCTTCTTTGTTGTGTTGATAGTTTCCTTTGCTGTGTGGAAGCTTTTTAGTTTGATGTAGTCCTGCTTGTTTGTTTTTGCTTTTCTTTCTTTTGCCTAAGGAGACATATTCAGAAAAAAGTTACTAATGCTGATGTCCAAGAATTTACTGCCTATGTTTTCTTTTAGTACTTTTATGATTTCAGGTCTTAATTTATGTCTTTAAGAGTTTATTTTTGTGTGTGGTATAAGAAAGTGGTCCAGTTTTATATTTTTGCACAAAGCTGTCCAATTTTCCCAACACCGTTTATTGAAAAGACTGTCTTTTCCTGATTGAATATTCTTGCCTTCTCTGTCATATATTAATTGAGCACACAGGCATGGATTTATTTCTGGGCTCTCTATTCTTGTCCATTGATCTATGTGTCTGTTTTGGGGACAGTACCATTCTGTTTTGATTACTGTAGCTTTAAGTATTGTTTGAAGTCAGAGCAGGTAATACCTTTACCTTTGTTCTCCTTTCTGAAAATTACTTTTACTATTTGGGATCTTTTATGGTTCTGTATAAATTTTTGGGTTCTTTGTTTTAGTTCTGTGAAGAATACTGTTGGTATTTTGATAGGGATGCACTGAATCTAGAGATTGCTTTGGGGAGTATTTGAACAATATTGATTCTTCTAATCCATGATCATGGTGTATCTTTCCATTTATTTGTGTTGTATTCAGTTTCTTCCACCAGTGTCCTATAGTTTTCAGAGTACAGGTCTTCCACATCGTACATTTAATTTATTCTTAGGTATTTGATTCTTTTTGATCAGTTATAAATGGGATTGTTTTATGAATTTCTGTGCTCATTTATTATTAGTAAACATAAACACTATAGATCTCTGTATTGATTTCATATCCTGCAACTTTACGGAATTCATTTATTAGTTCTAATAGTTTTTGATGGCATCTTCAAGGTTTTCTACATATAGTATCATGCAGTGTGCAAATAGTGACAATTTTATTTTTTCCTTACCAGTTTGGATACTGTTTATTCCTTTTTCTTAAATATTTTCTTTTTTGGGTTATGTGATTCTTCATATTGAAAAGCCATTTAAAATTTAATACTGTTTGCCCTCACTGTGTGACCTGTGGCTATTTTTCTGTCTTCTTCTCAATCTGTGCCATAGCTGAATGCTGCTCCCCAAACATACTTTGTGCTTTCATCCCTCATTATTGTAGTTCATTCTAGTCCTTGGTCTCCTCCTTCTCTTTCTAGTAATTATCTGTTTATCCTTCAGTACCTGATTCAGATGTTCAGTCTCTGCAAATTTATGAATTGTTCTTTTCCCCAAGCTCCCAAACAATTAACCCTCTTCATTTTGTGTCCCAGTGCTTTATAGGCAGCTCTTACAACCACTGCAAATCCTAGGTGCATCAGTTACCCAGAGGGTGCCCAGTGGTACCCATCTTGGTATCTTCTGAAACAGCGTTTAGTGAACATTGCTGAGCTGCTTAGAGCGCCGTGCGTATTGGGTCAGAGAACAGCTTTCCTCAATGCGTTCTGGTTCAAGGTCACCTCCACTCAGTGTCACACACCCATTCCCACCTGTTGCACTGTGGTTGTTGGTTTCTACTGGAGCTAATTTGAGGGCCATGAAAGAGGATCATTTTGTGTCACTGACTTTGCCTCCTTGCTGGAGCTACTGAGTCTCACCTGCTTCTTGCCTCTTTGCAGGACCCTAACAGGAGCACGCACACCAGCAGCAGCAGCAGCAGCAGCAGCTGCAGTAGCAGCAGCAGCAGCAGCAGCAGCAGCAGCTGTAGCAGCAGCAGCAGTAGCAGCAGCAGCAGCAGCAGCAGCAGTTTTTCAAAGCCTCACAAAGTCATGAAGGAGCACAAGGAAAAGCCTTCCAAGGACTCCAGAGAACATAAAAGTGCCTTCAAAGAACCTTCCAGGGACCACAACAAATCTTCCAAAGAATCCTCTAAGAAACCCAAAGAAAACAAACCGCTGAAAGAGGAAAAACTAGTTCCTAAGATGGCCTTCAAGGAGCCGAAGCCCATGTCGAAGGAGCCCAGAACCGAGGGAGGCGCGCCGGCTGGCAGTGTGGCAGAAAAGAAGGCACCCGGCAAGAGGCCACCCGGCCCCGACCCTGAGGAGCCGGCAGCCAAGCGGCGGCGAAAGGGTGGCCCCGATGCCCTGTTCAAGAGCTTCTCAGGCGCGCCGCCGCTCGTCCTCACGTGCTCTGCTGACAGGAAGCAGCTGCGAGACAAGCCTCACGTCAAGGTCGGGAAGGTCAAAGTGGAAGGCGAGGCATCGGAGAGGAAGAAACCGGCCCTGCCACCATTTGACGATATCGTGGATCCCAATGATTCCGACGCGGAGGAGAACATGTCCTCCAAGTCCGATGTGAGTAGTCTTGCCGGGTTCCTTCTTCTCCTACCAGATTGCAGATTGTAGTTCAGACGGCCTCGGGGCAAAGGGAAGAACGTGCCGGCGGACCCGTAAGGTGCTCGTGTGGAAGGGCTTCGATAGGAGTTTCCTTAACAAATGAAAGAAGAACATGAAATCAGTAAGGAATCTGCAGACCTAGGCTGAGATTTAAGTTGTTAAAGGAAAGGAATATTCCTTAGTATAATAATGTGTGAATAGTGGCAGAAGTACTGAGGTGCTGCTGTTGGGGCTCAGTCACTGTGCTTTCCAATGTTTGCTGATTTAGGAAAGTGAGAAGAATGCAATAAAACTTGAATACAAGGGAAAGAAATCTAAAATAAAAACTCAGACAATATTAGGGTTGTAGCTATAATGTTGATCTTTTCTGAGCAGTGGAATTAACTAATTTGTTTACTTGGAAAGCTGGCGCTAATTTTTTTTTAATGATTTTATTTGGCAAAATTGATAAGCACTATACTGTGTACATATTTAAAATGTTTATTTGGTAAATTTTGACATACATACCTGCCTATAAAACCAGGTGATGTCATTTTGAAAATGAAACATCTGAGGTTTTTCCCATTGTATAGCCACTGGTTTGGAAGGGGTGGAGTACATGATCTTCATTAGAAACTTTGGCTAACTGAAAAGGTTATCTTTAGTGGCTGCTTAGAAGAACATCTGACCATCTGCTATCCCCCAAAATGTGATCCGATGTTGAAATTTATACTTATCGTTATAGAGTTATCCAAGTTGGACTGGATTTTCAGGTTATCTATTGTAACCTCCTGCCATTGTAAGAAATCTTACATGTCTAGTGACAGAGCTATTAGTAAACCAAAAAACATCCCATTATATTTCCAGAGGATGAACATTTATTTACTATGAAGTTATCTACTCCCCACTTTTCCTTTTTTCCCAACATTGGCCTACTTGAGTTACTTATCAGTCATGAGCTATTCCAGTAATCTCTTTACTTGGGCTTGTCAGTATTTCTAGACCATGTTCAAGGAAGATATCTGGCTAAAAATTGCTGGCAATCTTAGAATGCTTCTTTGTCCCGTGGGGTTGCCCTACAAATGTTCCTATCTGAAATACTGGCCAGAGGTAGGGGTCTTAGTAGTATATTCTCTTTTCTGCATTTGCACTGTCCTGGGTAGAAAGCCAGCCAGGATTAGGATATGGCATCAGTACTGACCCCCAGTCATCCAGAGACCACCTCTAATAAATCAGATTAGGAGCAGAGTAGCACATAAAATACTGGAGATTGGGCAGTATGTTCCAGTGTTTGGCAAAGGCTTTATAATGATACTTTACCTCTCCTTGTGATTCAGACTTGCTCTTGATGCAGATGTTACTTGGAACTTTTTTGTATGTTTGACTTTTATATCAAGTTGCTCTTGAAATGTTCATGGAAGCTGTTGGGGTGTGATTAACCTATTAAGAATGTCAAGTTGAGCAACTTTGTCTTTCCATATTCTGACATGTTGCAATTCTTCTAGAACAGAGGTTTTCAAATTGTGGGTTGTGATTCATCGGTGAGCCATGGAATTTTATTTCAGAGGGTATGTATTTCTTATAGTAGGTCATGGTCAAAATTATGAAAGTAATCTTTCTTGAATGTTTGCTGATTTTTGAGAATACCAAATGGCATTCATAACACACTGTTGAATTTTCTTTCCATATGAAAATCACAGATGATCTTCCTCTGTAGCTAATTCCTGTATTCTTGTTTTGTTTGCCACTTGCTCCCTCTCTTTAATATATGATTTATGAGATAACACTTTCCTTTTCATAAACTTTGTGTTTGACTTAGTATATTTATCTAAAGCAATACTTTGAAAAAATATTCTGGAATGAGGAGTTAGAATTGTAATTCCTTATAGTAGGTAGCACATTTTCAAAACAATTCATGACCTGTAAGAGCCATATATCCAGTGATCATAAGAGGAGTTTTTGTAATGTGCTTTTCATGTCCTTACAGAGAAAGCCCCTAAACACTTTATGGTATTACTTGGGTATAAAACCCTACAAATGTGCTTCCCGTAACAGTTTTCTGGTAGTAGTAATGTGTTAATTATTTCTGCTGTGGCCTAATTCTCTAAATGGAGGTAGTGGGACAGAAGAGTATTCAGGAAGGGAAGATAAAAGAGGGCTGAGATTCTCTTATTCCACTAGTGAAGATAGCCTTTGTTTGGCCTTTCTCCTACGTGGTGCCCCTTCTGTGGGCAAGGCAGAAGGAACAAGAGGCAATTTAATGGAAGGCAGTAAACAGCCTATAGCCTCCGTCGGCCAGTTACTGATTTGGTAGCTTGGGGAAGGCCCAGCTTCAGGGGGCATGGTTCACACTGTCCCAATGGTAAGCATGTCTGCATTTGAGTAAGTATGATCAAATGACCTGATCTCTCTAAAGGCCTTTCCATTATCTTTGAATATGCACCAGATTTATGTTCTTTTGTAGGCAATGGAGTGATGGGTAATTTTAGACATAGTGGGCAGAGATCATGGACTTTGGAAACATAAGAAAGACACAAAAAGAAATTGGAAGAGTGTGCAGAATCTGGAAAGGCTGGGGAAAAAAGATTACTTACGTGGTATATCTGAAAAGACAGTATCTTGCCATGGTCCAGATTAGTTACAGTTAAAAGAAAGAACTTCTTAAAGAAGCTTTTCCGTAGTTAACTTAGATTCAGGTTTTGTATAAGAATATAAACCAGTGTTATTAAGATGAATTAGGAAATTTAGATTGTTAATTCAATATGGTTCTGTTGGATTAAGAATTTGATATTCTTTGTATATGAGAAGAAAAACTGAAGTATATTCATAGTTTATTTGCCTACATGTTTTTTGAGGTATCACTTATTTGTTGATAATGGATAAGTAGATAGGTAGTCACAGTAAACAAGTAATTAGGAGTCTGCATTCTGATGTTGGACCAGCTGTATTTTGAATCCCAGCTCCACCAGTGATCTTAGGCAAAGGATTTAACCTTCTGTATTTCTTAATTTCTTTTTTTGTAAAGTGGCAAGAATGACAGTATTTAGATTATAGAATGATTGTGAAAACCATAAATTTGGGTAAAGAACTTAGCACACTAATCAAAAACATGCTAGCTATTGTTATGTCTGATTTGGCTTCTGGCTATAACCTATAGCTTTGAAAGAGATTTTTTTGTTATTTAAACATACAGCAGAATTTTTAGTTTCTTTTTTCAAGTGTATGGGCCATATATTTTTAAGGGGTACAAGTACTTGGAATCTATGTTGTGTTACTCTGAATTTTGTCTTGGGGAGGTATATGACTTTGATACTGATTTGCAAGTGTTACGTGGTAACTGGAAAAGTACAGGACAGAGAATTTGTTTTAAACCGAAAGTTAACTAATGTTTCCGAGGATTTTTTATCTTTTTAATGAAATGAGATTAAAGACAAGAACATACCTAGCATTGCACTGGGTAAGCACTTGGTAGTTCTGTACTGCTGTTACTATTAAAAGAAGACATCCTAAGAAATGATATGTCACTGGGCTACTCTTAATATGACTGAAAGAGTAATTTTTAAATATATTTTTGTAATTGCTATATTCTTGTTTTTTAGAGAAGTCAAATATTGTCACGTGAAAGTACATCAGTAAATTTCAGAGGTGGGCAGAGGTGGCTAGGGAGGCAAAAAGGACTGTTTTATAGTGGGTGAACATTTAGCAAATACAGAAAACAAGGACATATTTTTTTGCTATGTTTACATAATGTTAGCATTAAGAATATTTTACATTCAAGAATTTAGGTAATTCCTATTAGAGTGAAGCTATTCTTGGTTTAGGAATTCATCTTTTTGTGGTCATAATGGTCACTTACGGAAAGTGACTGTTCTTACTAATGACTGACACTAATAGCAGCTAGAAAGGAGGAGCTAAGTGTATCAGAGTCAAAAGTTTGTGATTGTAGTTTATATTCACTTGCTTAAACTTTTATTTGACAAAAAGGACCCAAATACCTTTCACCCCTTCTGTAATTCTCTAGTTTTTGTTTTTCATATAACTGCTTCTAAAGAGAACTCTGGTGAGTTGATCTCATTTTGTGATGTGAGAAAGTTGGATATTCTTAGCAGAAGAGGGAAAAAACAGTGAAAGAAAACTGAAATAACCACTTATGATCAGATTCAGTTAGGGTAATAATTTCCTGATCATTACCTTCACTTTTTTGCCTTGTTTTGTATAGATTTAGCCATAATTTAAAAAATAGAAGTTAAAAGTTTAATTACCTTTCCTTGAAAATGGCAGATTACATTTGATACAATTCTCAACCTGCAGTGTGAGAAATGAGATTTTTATCATGCCTTTTGATAGTTTGGCTTACCAAAGTGTTTTCTCGGATAAAATCATCCTGAGGAAAAGAGATGAAGTCTCATCAGATGGTAGCATTTTTCCCAAGGGTGGGTGGTGCTGCAATCCAGGATAGAGACTTCAAACCACCTTAGCAGAAGTTTCTTTCCAAAAGAAAAAAAGGAAGAAGATGGAAAAAGAAACTTCCCTTCTTTTGTTGTCTCATTTCCTCCCGCCCCACCCTGTTTCTTGCCGGCTTAAACTGTCTGGAGCTGGCAGTAAACGTCCTGCTGTTGAAGCATTGGTCTTAGGTTTTACACAGTAGAAGGTTGTGGCGGTCAGAGAAGAAGGTCTTTATTGTGTTTTCAAAGTGGCTTTTTAATGGCTTGTAATTCCAGCACATGCAAGAGCTGTAAAGTCTGTAAGTATGGTGAGCAAGCAGCTGGAGAGGCCATTCATTAAAGGGCTGTCTGGCCTCTCCCCGGGGGGCTCTCCCTCTGGACTCCTGTTCTCTGCATTTTATAACTGGAGGTAAAAATACCTGAAGGGTTGCCATTCTTCCTCTGGTAGATCCAGCTCAGTGTGGAACATTAAATAAAACAATTGAAATTAAGTTAACTTTGTTGGGTGCGTGGTGATATTTCACCTGACCTTGT